ATAGAACTCGAGTAATCATCATTACGAGGACATAATACTACTTAAAGTTGGGATTAAGATTGTAATTTAGGTTTAGAATACATGTGCAAGGTATGTTTTCTTAAAATGTTCCATTGCCAAATTGTATCTTAATCTATTAAATCGTCTTGTTCGATATATTAGATTAAATTCAACTAGACCCGATTTAATAGAGATAAAAAAAAACATGAAATATTTGTTCATAATTTAAAATTTTACGAAAAATTATTTTGGGTTATTGAAGCTAGTTTCAGACTAATAGGCATCTTATTACATCCATTTGAGTTTGTTTATTTTTTCAATTACGTTCTTTGTTCAATTTGGGATTATAAAGGCGAATAAGAAAAACTTAATGATTAGTGAGATAACTCAAATAGCGACTACATGTAAAAACACGTTAATTTTGAAAATATCCGTGATTTTAGGAAACTGATAATTCCATATTTAACTACGAAATATTGAATAATTGATAAGAAATTGAGAGATGTCAAATTATTTTTATGCGATGATAAAAAAAAAAAAAAAATCCAACTAAAACATTCCGTTACCTGATGCAAATATAATTAAACTGTACCATAGTCCCTCGTCTATTGTAAAAATAATTAACAGATGCTAATGACAAAAAAGGCACAAAAATCAAAATAAAAACCATTTTTTATATAAAAAAATTAAACCTAAGATTAAAAAAAAAAAAAAAAAAAAATTCTGGTCTCGTGTGCTTAGTATCCTGTCACGTGCCACCTGTTTCAAACAAATATTTTCTCGTTTCGAATAGTCCGATGAATCAACAAATGTAGTCACGATTGCACACTCACAAGGTATTACACAAAATGCTCCGCGTGTCATAAATTCAATCATAATTATTCTCTTAAGCAATTTAAACTTTTAAATCAATAAGTTTTCAAATCTTATAACCACTCATTTATTAAAATTATGCACGTATCTAGATTTCATGGAAAAATGAATCACATCTATACGCAAGGAAGTGTTTTTTTTTGCCTTTTTTTATCTCTATGTACTTTTGCGACGACTTATACTTAATGAATACAATCCATCTAGTTTTGAACAACTAGGGCAGTGATAGCAACCGAAGCAAGCCATTGAGCTTCCCCAGGGGAAGGTTTAGGATCGGATTAAAAACAACTCAAGTCGGGCTAATGTGTAAAAGAAAAAAAAAAATTACGCATAAAAAATAAATGGGCTAGGAAATGGACCAGTCTACAGATTGGCCTAGTCCCACCTACAACCGCCCTTGAGCTACTCCATTTTTATCTCTATCTCTAGGCATAAAATAGCAAGATCTACGCCCTCTCTCTCTCTCTCTCTCTCTCTCTCTCTCTCTAAGAAAACTACAATATCATAGCTTAAAAGTGTGTTGAGAGCTAGCTTATTAGATGACTTCACACTATGAATAAGTCGAACAACATCACGTTGAACCTATCAATTTAATTTATTTCTAGTGATATTTTTTTATGTCATATATGTACTCTAACAACAAACCTTTCAACTAGAGTACATATATGACATAAAAAAATATCACTAGAAATAAATTAAATTGATAGGTTCAACGTGATGTTGTTCGACTTATTCATAGTGTGA